CAGAGAAACGCCAAACAGGAGTTGCTGGGCTACAGCAGTTATTGAAGGCGATACTGGCAGAGGATCTTTCACAATGGCAGTGATACTCAAGCTAATTCTGGTTAGTACTGTACAGAAGGTGGAATGGTAAACCATTTCTGAATATTACTTACCTTGAAAACCCTATGATGAAACAATCCAAAGTGAGAAGATAACTGGTTGAAATTAGAGCCTGCCACAAGCTTACAAACAAACTATGAATCAGCTTGAATTCCTGCAAAGCCCACTTATTGAAAGAGAGATTCTATTCCTCTTTGGTGATACATCCTCTCTATATTTCATGTATATGCCCTCTGATAAAGTGGCATATCTGAAAACTTTGCATGAGAACTTATGCAAGATTCTTTAAGTTACCTAAATTCTGTGCTTATAAATTCCAACCTGTCAAGGTTATGACTGCATTACAGCACACTTGTTTTGTGTTAACTCCAAGCTAATAAATTCTTAGGGCATCGTGTTACTTACAGTACTGAATGCGTTGGCATGTCCTTACATGCCTGTTTGGCATATGTGGTATTTTTCCTCAAAGCCTTTTCTGTATTGAAGAATACCTCCAAGGTCTGTCATGTGGCTGAATTCACATAACCCATCTAGTTCTACGCTACTTAGTTAAGCTTCTTTAACCCCTTGATAACATAAAAAAGGAATTGGAAGCTTAATCAGTTGAACATCTATGTACTTTAATAAGTTTATCTTCAGCTCTATCAATCTCTGAAGCCGGCACCTATAGTTATCTTTTGTGTACAATAAAATCAAAGCTGACTGAAGAAAAACTGTCCAGAGGCAGGATTTCAAATCCTTATATAGCTCCTGGCTCCACACCAGCAGTACTAGAATTAATCATGTTAGATATTCACACTTGCTTAATTTATGTGCACCACAGAGAACGGATCGTCTTGCTGCAGAAAATGTCTTTTTTTGTGGAGTGGATTCTGCCTGAGTAGAAAACAGTCTTGTAGGTGGAGGGCACCTGCTAACCTTTAATAGGTGGACAGAAAGGAGCTATATATCAGGGAATATTCTTTGCCATCTCTACATGGATTGGGGAAACCTTTCTCAGTGTACTTTGACCCACTGATGTTCATTTGGCCATGATGCAGAAGAGGGCTTTCTTTACTGTGATGTCCACCATGTGGAATGATCTTCCTCTCCAGAGTAGGCAAGCATCTGGTGTGGAGCATCGCCGTGGACAACTTGGGACATGTGTTTTGCCCAGGTGTTTTCTGTCCACTAGCATTGCCAGCTACACCTGTCATCTTGTTTTGCTGATTGGTTTTATGGTATTTTATTACATGATTGACTTGGCTATCGTTGCAACAGCAGAACAGCCAGGTACTTTTCCCTCCTGTCAACTCACCCTCACTTTTTGCCCAGTCTGACAAACAGTCCATGTTTTCCAGGCAACAGTGATATACCTGTGATTCCTTCATGCTTATCTGAAGCCTGAAGCCTTCTTCTATTAGCTGTTCCTGCCTAGATATGGTACTGTGAGTGGGCAACCCATGCTAAAGGGAGCTTCCCTGTTGCAAGTGGAAGATACACCCAGTATTTCATCATATTTCTTACAGCACAACTTGTGTGTCCTAGCACTCAGTTCAAAATCACTGTCTTAGATAACTCTTTTCTCAGCATGTGCTGACAAAGGGCATGAAAACCTGTTTTGTTTTAGCTTTGACCCTCAGATGTTGTGCAATTTTTGTACTATTGCCTAATGTACCGTTTGTCAAAACAGGATACAATTGCTAAATCACTGTAGCCATCGGCAGCAACTTTCCATACAATTTCCATTGCACCATAAAGCAGTTAGTCCTTCTTCATAGCTTGCTACACTTTAATTTGAATGCTCTGAGTGTAGGAGTCCATTGTTAGAAACAACATATGCTCCAGCAAGATCCCAAATTTTCCATTATAAATTCTTCTCCCTTCCATTTCATTTTCACAAGAAGCTTGTGAGGTAGGCTGGGTTGAGAAATAGTATTTGACCCAATGCCACCCAGAATCCTTCATGTTGGATGGGCATTTCAACCTGAGACTCCCTGCTGCTACTATGATCAGGTATTGGCCAGTTTGGAAATAAATGGGTACTGATGTATTTGCACAAATATATTTTTAGATTATCAGCACTGGAGGGTGGGTGGGAAGGTTGGAGATAAGTAGAAGACATTGTTTTAAAATGCTGAGAAGGGAGATAATCAAGCAACTATTTTTATCTGACAAGCCATAAGCTTGCTCATGAGTTTCCTGTTCACACTTTCCCATATGCACTCTAGATTGGCCTTCTCCAAACAGGGGCCTTCTGGTTGTGTTGGCCTGTATAGAATCATAGCTGGAAGAAGCTGGAAGAAGTCAATAAGGCCATTAGGTCCAACTCCGTGCTCAGTGTAGAACTGCAAGTCCAGCTGCATCTTGAATGTCTCCAGGATAGAAGAACCCACAACCTCACAAAGTGATTGTTTCCATTATCATATTGGAAGTCAGGAAGTTTTTCCTGATGTTCAGTCAGTCTGATTTCCTGTAACTTGAGCACATTTTTCCATGTCCTGCACTCTGGGATGATTGAGAAAATATCCTGGCCCTCTTCTGCATGACTATCTTTCAACTACCCAAAACGTACTATCATACCTTCTCTTAGTCCTCTTTCAACAAGAAGGGTTGTATATATGACCATGCTCTCTCTACCTTAGTTGAGGGTTACAATAGTTCTGGGATCTACTTTATGTCCTTGGTCAAACTGAATGAAGTAAGTCCATCATGCACAAATTGTTCGTCCTTAAGGATCACATGCATCCCATTTCAATCTGGCTTCAGGCCCTGCTATGGAACAGAAACTGCCTTGGTCGCCCTGTACGATGACCTGTGCAGGGAGAAGGACAGGGGGAGTGCATCCCTCTTGGTTCTCCTGGACCTCTCAGTGGCTTTTAATACCATCGACCATGATATCCTGGATAGGTTGGCTGGGTTGGGATTGGAGGCACTGTTCTGTGGCGGTTCCACTGCTACCTGTCTGGCTGATTCCAGAAGGTGGTGCTGGGGGATTGTGGCTCTGCGCTATGGCAACTTTGCCATGGAGTTCCACAGGGTTCCATTTTATCCCCCATGCCTTTTAACATGTATATGAAACCACTGGGAGAGGTCATCTGGAGGTTTGGGCTGTGGAGTCATCAGTATGCTGATGACACCCAGATCTACCTCTTTTACATCTAGTCCAGGTGAGGCAGTGGCCATCCTTAACTGGGGCCTGGTCAGGGTAATAGGTTGGATGAGGGCCAATAAATTGAGGCTCAATTCAGATAAGACAGAGGTCCTGCTGGTAGGCAGTCCAGCCCTACAGGTGAGTGACCTCTGCCCTGTTCTGGACAGTGTTGCATTCCCCCTCAAAGACAGGGTGCGCAGTTTGGGAGTGCTCCTCGATCTGGAGCTGTCCCTGGAATCTCAGGTGGCAGCAGTGGCAAGGAGTGTCACCTTATATACCAACAGTGCCCTTATATGGATGAGCAATGCCTTGCAACAGTGACCTATACTATGGCAACTTCCTGACTGGATTATTGTAATGTGCTCTATGTGGGGCTGCCCTTGAAGACACTTTGGATACTTCAGTTAGTTTAGAATAGAGCTGCCAGGATACTAACTGGGACTGGCAGGTATTCACATATAACACCGGTTCTCTATCGCTTACACTGGCTCCCAATTGAAGTCCAGGCCCAATTTAAGGTGCTAGTGATGACCTATAAAACCCTAAATGGCTTGGGTCCTGGATACCTGAAGGAGTGCCTTCTCCCCTATGTGCCCTCCTGCCCCTTGAGATCTGAGTCAGAGGCCCTCCTCCAGGCGTGGTCCTTGGAGAGTGACTTCCCGGAGGAGGGCCTACTCTGTGGTGGCACCCCAACTGTGGAACACGCTCGCCAGAGAGGTTCACCTGGTGCCAACACTTCCTTCCTTTTGGCATCAGGTGAAAACCTTTCTATTCCAATATTTTAATTGCTAATTTGTTTTAATTGGTGGTTTTATATTTAACATTGGATGGTGTGCAACTCCTACTCTTATTTCAATTTCATTTTATTAATGGTGTTGTAAACCATTCTGAGAAGTCTGTGAAGGGATGGTATAGAGAAGTTTTAAATGAGTGAGTCAGTCAGTCTTAAGTAACAGGTGAAAGGTTTTTAACTGACTGAACAGGGGATTGTCTGCTCCAGTGGGCCTTTGCTGAATTTCTTTCCATTTCAATTTGTCTCTGTTCCATGCTGTTTTGTGCTCACTTCCCAAACACACCAACCACTTGCTAGACAGGTGAAATTACACCTACGTGCATCTTAGCACTATGATGCAAAAAACAAAAAGGATTAGCATAATTAATTATTGAGGCATACATAACAGAAATGCTGCTTCAAAAGGGAAAAAGGCTACAAGGTAGATGGGCCAATACCCAGTAATTAGATAGAGGGATAAGAACAGATCCTATGCTGATTGGCAGTTGTTGATGGTTGAAGCTTAAAAACTGATTCAGGTCAAAAGAAATAAGGATGCTGATTTACTATAAAGGTTGCTCCCTTTGAGAGGCAGGGATTATTGCAAGCTATAGGCAAAAATTGCCTTTTTACAACATGAGGTGATCATCTGACCAATTATACGCTGTAACACCTACTCCATCATGTGTCAGGTACACTCAGGAAGACAACTAAGTTCAAGAGGACTTGTGTGAAAATTTGAAGCTGCTTATTCAGTAGCTAGCTTAGACATGTTTTACCAGTACATTAGAAAAGAATAAGGCAATCTTCTGTCTTTTCAAAATTATGTAGTTACTTATATCATAAAGATGTTCTATGAAAATGTGATCAGACTTCAGACACAATCCAGAGAGAGCAAGTGTAGATGGCCAATAGAAGAAACACAAATAAAAAGACAGACATTAGCTTTACAATTAGAAGGAGAAACCCAAAGTAATAGACAAGAACGCAGAAAAATTTGAGAGTACAGATGTCATGACATTTATTAAGAGGCATGCTACAACTAGAGTTGTTAGAAAAAGAGTTAAGTATAGATACTCAAGTAATCAGCAAGTACACAAAACTTAAAGGAAATGGAGTATACGGCAGTGTACAGAAGTTCAAATTAACCATGCACTACGCAGTTAGAAAATAGGTTTCTTTAATATTTCAACTTCTTTGCATTTATAACATCATCTCAACAACATGGAATCCTTTTTTCCCTCCAATGCCACAAGCTGCTTAACAAATGAAAGCTGGTACTGTTGCTTATCAAAATATACAAGACAATTGGTGTTTTTTTAATATAAAAACATTTTATACTTGTTCCCAAAAACCTTTTTTGCCAGGTAAAAAATGTTGTTACAAATATTTACAGCATTTTTGTTAGATGATATTTTTACAAACTTAAAAAGGGATTCATGAACACATGAAAAGTTAGGGAATGTCTGACTCCTGTAATTGTGAGCCTTTTTTCTCTGAATACAGTACTAAGTATCCATTAGCCCCTTGCCTTATGCCATTACATTTGGTTCACATTTTAAAAAATCTCATTTCCCATTAAGTAGTCCGTTCATCAACAGCATTCATATAAAAGGCCATTTTACATTGGGTCTTTCAGGAAAAATAGCTTAAGAGACAGAGAGAGAAACTGGCAAGATGTCTTATTAAAACCAGAACAGACAATCTTTGGTCATTGCAATGGGTGACAATCTGACATAACTGTTTTCTTGGTCAGTGACCATATTTTGAGGGAGTGGGATGAACTGTTTTCAAGAACTGGAGAACTGAATTGGGGAAAAGAACTAAAAGCATGGCTAAGGAGATGAATCTAAGTACACAGCTGGTCAGATTTTTTAAAACTATCATATGAATACTGCACATAGATCCAAGAGCTGAAAGTTCTGTCAAAGCATGTACCCTTTTTTGTATTTTACCACTTAAAAGCTATTGTAACAACCACAAGCCAGATGTCTAAAAAGTTTAACTTGGATTCCTGCATGGTGCAGCATGATTCATGTTACAATGGGTTGAAAGCAAAGGGGTAACAATCCAAACTGGAACAGCTAGCAAGTGACTGCACATATGGATAGTTCATGGGTCATTTGGTATTCTACTATATAAATACACATTTTCTTGAAAACAAGAGTATTGATTCTAAAGACAGAAAGATATAGCAAAAAAATTACACATCTACTGAAGGCACATAAACTTTGGTCCCATTTTGTTTTCTTCTTTGTAAAAACCATGAAATTAAGATTTTAGAAGTTTTCCATTTCTTAAAATAATTCCTAATTGTTAAAGCAAAACCTTAAAAGAACAGTCTCATATGCAATATGCAGATATTTGCAAAAACAATTAGGAGTTAGTTTGCTTCAAGGAAGTCTCTGTGCAACCTGAACAGTTTTTAGCACAACTGTTTAAATCTGGAAGTTTTATTCAAAGATACCAGTCTGCAAAAAAGTCAAGGCAAACAAAAATGGCTTTTATATGGTTAATTACTCAGTCCCTCACCTTGAAAATAGCAGTACGCACTACATATAACAGGATGAAGACTGAAACGGCATACCTCAGGTTTATTATTCCTGGAAGAAAAATCCACATCTAGAGATGTTACTTGGTTATATTTAACTGTGTAGTAGAGACATGGGCTTGTTCTGTGTAGAATTCACATGTGCTATTATTTTACAAGATTCTGCTGCACACTGTCCCTCAGGTCTGGGAAGCAGAGGCAGCACACAGACACCTCAAGGCTACATTTGGATATCTAGGCACATAGAGCCCTCAATATATTCTCCAGGCACAGTAACAGCACAACTGGTGGGAGACGTGAAAGGCAACCAAGTCTGGACAAGGCTTAAAATGAATTTCTTTGAAATTCTATAACTTGCAAAGTTGTTTGGCTGAAAACTCTAGTTGATTAATGGTATAATCATTAAATATCCAAGACAAGGGGACTCTTGAAGGGTCTGCAACTATGCCAACATGAAAATACACTATGACCTTCCTGAGCCAGTTTTGATAGAGAAAGGCATTTTTCCTTCCAGTTTGTATCCAAGCTAGCAGCAGTGTGTCCTTCAGGGTGAACACTAATATGGCTTAACCTCTAGAAGTAAGAATTACAGGCAACTGTAGGTGACTTAGTTAAACTTGGTATCGATCTTAATTTTAAACCTAGGCCTTCCACAACACTGAGAAGCCTTGGACTAGATCAGTCCTGAAGCCATTTCAGCTCTGAAGTGCTACTGTAAGTTTTGAAATGTTCCACATTTTTTATTTTCCTTGTAAGAAGCAGCTTTTATTTATTTATTAAGCTGCAAATCCTCTCTCTTGAAATGTTCCTTTTATCCAATATATTAAAAGAACACTTTTGCTGAGGTTGTTCAATGTGTAAAAATTTGATTCAAAGCCAATATATTCAATGCCTTAAGACACACCTCAAATTGTACAGATGGCAGGAATACTTAATGCACAGGAGAACATGACTTGAATAGCATTCACTTCCAAAGCAATTGCAAGGGTCACAAATTTTTAAATTGCAACTGCTTTGAGCTCAAACAGGGAGAAAAATGAAAAGATTCATGCTAAGAATAATCAAGTAGTCTGAAAAATCATTATTCAACGCCAGGATGCTTGATTTTTGCACAGATGAATGCTACTCAATAACCACACCCTCTTAACACAAAGTCCTATGCACATTTAGATAGAAAAAATTCCAATAACTCTCAACATCTCTCCAGGCAGAATGCTGACTAGGACATACTGGCAATTGTACGACTTTTTTTGTCTATACATGCACAGGCTTGCACCCTTAATCAACTTAATTTTTCAGGACACTAGTTCTAGATCTAAGTGACAAGGAAACTGATGCAGTAAAGTGATCTGCAGCAAACGAATAAAAGGACAGGAAAACGGTAAAGTTAGCTTTTCTTAATCCCAATTCAAAGGGTTGCCTTCTAAAGCAATTGGTGGGAAGAGGAAACTTAAGCTTACTATTGCTGGAAACTGAATTACTGTTTTAAATGCAAACAAAGTGTATACTGCCATTTCTCATATTTGCAGCTCATGGAAAAGAAAATCCTTACAAAATAAAATCAACTCCAAAACACTGAACACACATGCACTACAACCAAGATGATCTATACAGAAGATACTATCTCGAGACCACACAAAATATGTGTATTCAAACTAAATTTAAGAAAATGTTTGTCAGCATGTAATGTAACTGTATGCCCTATAACACAGGCTGCAAGTAGAACAGAAATTATGTTTTCTAGGGACCAAGGGAAGCTCTATTTTTTCTTGTTAAGTTGACCATTTCTTTTTCCATTAACACTACAAAGTTGCTTTTTTGTATTTTAGATAGTTAAATCAATAAATTAAATGCTTGCAATGTGTATCAGCATACACATAGGATACTTCACACATGCACTCTCTCTCTCTCTCTCTCTCTCTCTCACGCACACACACACACGCACTGACACTGCACTCTTGATATTATACATGCTAATGCTCATTCTCAGAACTTGATTTTTTCCTGCTTCAATTACATTCATCAACTCCAACAACATCCCCCTTTGTAGCAGCATTAAACACACATGGTGACCAAGCTTAAAGGTAACTTAGCAAGTTACACTAAGGAGGAGGCATATTCATAGGGACCCTAATCCAAGAAGCTATTTAACTAAGGCTTACATAGGTTGTCATCCTGAACATGCTTACTTGGAGCCACATCCATTGAAATCAATGGAAGGAGACACATTTTGGCTCAAGTGCCGTATCAGAATTAGGCACTCGTGTAATTGCTAAACTGAGAAGATCTTGGTACACTAAACTTTTCATCTCACTGTGATTTTCCAACAGCTGTTAAGTCATGTGAACTGTGAAAATGGGGTCAGTTATTACTGGATGCTAGCATAACTTTACATAGATAAACATCTGCTGACAAAACGTACACATGCTAACCAAGTGTCCAACGGTGATTATCAACTGACTATCTTCCACAAATATAGCTATAGAAATTAAAGACAGCAAGTGTCTCACTGCCTATCCTTTCATGCTACAGCAGCAGTGGGGCAACCTGAAGGCCAAAACATCTGAAGGACCATGAGCTGCTCACCCCTGTGCTTTAGTGATGTTATCAAGAAACTTATTGAGTTACTATTTTAAAGGATCATAATCTTAAACTATGGAATTTGTTTTTGCCAAACAACAGCTGGTATTCACAGAACAAATTAGTTTGCTTAAAATTCCAAAGATAATGAGCACACTACAAGTGATTACACTCCATTTCATAAGTCTTTGTGTCCATTTTCAAAACCATTTAAAGGATTAGCCACCTTTATACGTGAAAGGAATACCTTAGGAAACAATGAAAAAATTCAGTAGACATAACATGAGACACCTCTAAAAACATTGTATCACAATCATAGAAATAACTTGTGTATGCCTATATTTCACAAAAAAATAGTAAGATTGCATCTCATCTTGCTCTCCATTAAGGAGTGAACATTCAGTACTGAAGTTATGACATTTATGAACAAAAGCCAGTCTACATTTAGTACAGCAACTCCAGTACTGTTGGGTGAAAAGGAATCCTGAGGCAAAATATTCTCGAAGAGCCAATGGCTCAACGGGTTAGATATCGTCCAGAAACTGAATAACATTCTTTACAGCCCAATAGTGGTGACACTAAACTAAAACCTCCAAAATATTGTGAAGAGGCCTATAAGGATGTGCACTGAGTTATCTTCAGTCCCCACTTTCCCCATCCCTGTACCAAAGCACCAAAAATCTGATTTGACTATTAGTTATTAAAAACATTTTTTTAAATCACCAAACGTTTAAAAACTAAGACAAAGGAAAAAAGTCACCAAGCCACAATACAGTTTAAAGATACTTCAGATAAAACTCTAAACTATTGTTTCATTATAAGCACATAATAAGGCACATAAGAAATTAAGTAAATACACAGTAATTCTGATTTAAGTATTAGCGATTATAGTGGTACAAAAAACCCTTGAGGTTTAATTTTATATTTTTAAACAAGACCTTACCAAAAATAACCTTTCTAAAAATTTGTCAAACCATATGACAGACCTGAATTTTTTCCTTAAGAGTGTAAACATTTTTTTCTGAAAGAAATATACAAAACTTGAAATCAGGACATATTTCTTCTTTCATTTTCTCCAAAATCTTATTACACATCATTTCATCATAATAAAAATCATATCATAATTTCATAGTATTAATCTCTCACACAATGATTTAATATCTAGTTAAAAGTGTCATTATGATCACACTAAGATCAATTATGCAATTTATTTGACTTCATGGGAAAAGAAGGCACTGCCTTCCATACAACATTTTCAAAACACACGGATTAGAATGTTAGTTAATGGGGGGGGGGGATTTCCCTATCCCCACCTGCATTCTAAACAGCATTTAAACCTCCCACTAAATCTATTTTGAACACAATCTTTTGATAGCAAAATTTAATGGGTCACAGAAATGTTGTGTAACATTGTTTTGGAATAAAAACTATAAATTATGTTCCTGAAATCATTAAAAAGGAGGGTTTTCTATTAAAAATTGTGTTATTAAATTCTATAGAAGAAAAAAATTGTAGCCATTCAAACGGAAGAAGATACAGAAAGATCACCCCTTGATTGTTACCATGTATAGAAATACACTAGAACCACACAAATTTCATTGTTTAAGGATGCAGCGTTGGTTTTGGCTACTCCAGTCTGTCTGAAGAATTTACTGGTCATTGTGGGCAGCATCTTAAAAAGGAAAAGGTCACAGAAATGTCAGATTGTAGATTTGGAGAAGGAAACTCTGAGGTGATGGTTTTCTCCAAGGTCATGATTATGAAGCTCAATAAGAGCTTGAATTGCTTCTTCCACAGAGCCCAACTGGATAAGGGCCATTTTGCGGTCTTTTCTAAAATGGAAAAGAAAACAGCTTTAAACTCAATCCCCATTTTGATAGTTCTTCACTTCCCAAAATCATCAGGCCAGCACACACAGGACACAGCGTCTGGATAATCAGTAAAACAGGAACACAAGGCAGCACATGGCCTATAGTCTATAGGCATGCTCGAAAGAGAAACAAGGCAAAGTAACAATGCAGTTACCACTTAGCTGATCTCTGAGCAAAACTTAGCCTCCTTCCTTCCATGTCAGTCTGAAAAAGCCTTGCTTACTGCTAGGCTATTTATTTATTTATTTATTTATTAATAAATAAACAAATAAATAAATAAATAAATAAACTGAAGTCTTCTAGCTATTGTTTCCTAGCTCCTGTACCTCTACTCACAGGAAAGGAAGTATAAGAACAAGGGCATATTTAAGCTATAATAGTTCACATAATTACATTTTGTCTGATATAAAACTCAGTATTATTCCACGTTATTCATCAATCCATTAGTAGAAGTTGATGAATTCCTTGCATAATTTTACTTAATTACTGTAGAAACTTACGGAAAGAATTTGAAGGCTTTCACAATACATCCAGTACCAGCAAAAAGATTCTTCAGGTCATCAACTGTGACAGATGGTCTGAAAAAGATAATTTCCGTATTTAACTAAATATCCAGTTCTAAACAAAAAATAAAAACCTTCTGGCACTTCTAAGACCAACCAATTTGTTTTGTACATGTTTACATGCCATAGTGTTCATTTCATCTGATGTATCAGGTGGATACTGTCTTTGACAGTTTATGTTGTAATAAACTTTAAGGTGCCACTACATACTACATTGTTGTTATTTTATCAAGCCAACAGCTACTCTATAGAAACAAATTCAAACTTGTTTTGGCCTTTCATTTCACAGATAATCAGTACTTCTTATATTCCAGAGGCATTACAAGTATTCATAATATGACACTGCCGTGAAAAATTAAAAGGCACATTTCAGCTTCTGACCCAACATCTCAAACTGCTGTTGGAAAAGAATAATTTATGTAACTTTGTTGCCTACAATAGGGCTGTGATCTTCGAATTAATTGTATAACATAGTAATACAAACTTAAGTAGTGTACTTATTTCTGACTGCTCAATATGAATGTGAAACATATCTTTTGAAAAGCTGTCTGACAACTCAAGTGCTCCATCCTGTTTCAAGTCTTCCAAATCATTGCTCATGTCTAGGGCTGGTCCTATTGCTAGTCAGAACTCCTCAGTCATTGAGGGAGGCAGCTATCATGACCACTTCCTTCAGTAAGGGAGTGTGGAAAGTGGAGCATGGAGAAGATGGCATAGTCAATTTCACCAAATTAGAGAAAGTTTGCCGAAGTCAGGAGAGAAGAAAGGGTGAGTGTTGGGTTCAGTATAGTCCAACTTTCAGTATACATAGTGGCAAACCCAACTGCCCACAGGATCTCTCAAGCAGGATGGGCACAAGACATCAAACTGCTGAGAAACTCGTTTATGCAGGCATGTCACCTCTGGTAAAGAAGGTAGTACTTTACCAGCAAGGCTAGTGGCCATTGCTAGCCTTCCCCTGCATGAATTTGTCCAGTCCCCTTTTGTGAAGCCATCCAAATTAGTGGCCATCACTGCTTCCCATGACAGCGAATTCCATTGTTTAACTACATGCTGTGTGAAGTACTTTTATCTGTCCTAACCTTCCTACCAAACAGCTTCCTGATTAGCTTAGCCTATACTGGTGGGAAGCCCTGTGCTGGGGCTTGATGTAGCAGTCAAGGAGTAATGTGGGATACTCTTGAGTTCTTATTGTGAAATGGCTGCAAGTATTTCGTTTAAAAGGATCAGGGCTTTTTTTGTCATAGAACGCACCGGAATGGCGTTCTGGCACCTTTTTTTCCAATGGATTTTATGAAGTGATTTTGAATTGTAGCAGATCAGCAGCAAACATCATTAACATTGTGCCTGCAGGCTGCTTTTGTGTCTGCTATCTGATAGTGAGATAGTGAGGGCTGCTCTCCTGCTGGGCTTGGGATTGGTGTGTGTGGTCGCACGCTTACTGCCGGTGATGTGAGTTCCGACACCTTTTTTTTTTTTTTTACAAAAAAAACACTGGAAAGGATTTTGATTGGGCTGTGTGTGAAAGGGGGAGTATTCCTATTTAGTGTTTGTATTAGTTCCTAAATCAGCTTGTCAGTGAAATGACCAGCGTTGATGTCAGTATTGGAAACTGTGAACAGTAAAGGTTGTCAACAATTGGGGGGTTTTGCAATTTTAGGAGCAAAGACTTTGACTATTTGTAAAGGAGAGGTCTGCAATGTCATCCACGGATGCACTGAGTAAGTCCTTGCTGTCAAATGGGAAGCCCTTCTGGTGAAGACCCAAGGTACAGAGCCAGGTTTAATTTCAGTTAAACAGTGATCATAGATGTTGAGCCACAATTTGACATATGGGATACAGCAGTGATCATAGATGTTGAGCCACAATTTGACATATGGTGGGCTGCAGTGATTTGCCGCGTTCTGTGTTTTTGTTTGGAATATCATTACAAAGTTCTTGACATCCTTGGGAAGATGGACAAAGGGAGTTATTGTGCCCTATAGGAGTTGGTAGAATGACATGCTGGCCTGGTAATTTGTCATCCTGAAAGCTATATAGGGCTGTAGTGGACTAGATCTTTTCAACCAATTACATTCAATTTCTACTCCTGATAATCAATGGGGAGGAGTGGATTCAGGAATTTGAGTGTAATGCTTCAACTTTACAAGGGCTTCGGCAAGGGGCGGCATAGAAATGTTCTAATAAACAAACAAACAAACAAACAAACATCAAGTTGGCTGCTTAAAGAGAGAATACTGTCCTCTTAGACTCTGTAAAGATTATCTATTGCCTGAGATGATGGAAGGCTTTGCAAAAGATTGCTTAATTAGATGAAGAATGGTAAGAAGCATTGGAATGGTGACTGGTGCTGCTATGGCAGATTGTAACTGGTTGAACTCTATGACTGTAAAGGAAGATGGCAGAACCTTAATTCTGATGCCAAGGGACTTGGCCATTCTTGGTAACTGTTCAGCATAAGACATGGTATTATCCAAAGATGGAAAGGAGTTTTGATCACTTACTGTGCTGTCCAGGGAGGATGCTGGTGGTTGGGGTGGATGAGATAGAAGAGAAATCCAAGCAACAGACTTCCTGTGTTAAGGAGGGGCAGTCTGTATAGTTGGTAAGAGGACGAGAAGGTTGGGTAAGCTTAACTGGTGCTGTGGTCTAAGTGGTGGGTTAGTTTTTTTCAGGATATCCTGGAAAAAGTTTGCTAGAAGAGGAGTGTGCAAGTAGAGAATAAGGCTGTAGAGTCTGACAGCGCATGAAGGTCCAGAGTTTGGATTTTTTGTGGGTTACCATGGGGGATGGTGGAGAATGGGAGTTCGGAGAGAATAGTACAGATATTCGACATTTCTACCGAAGAAATGCACCCTCAGCAGTAAGCAGTCCCCACACTAATAAGGAGGTGGTCTATATTAGCAAGTGTCCCTGTGGCTTTCCTGTGAAATATTATTGTGATGTTGAAAGAATATTCTTGAAGAGGCTGTTGAGGCTAATGAGGTATGTCAATACTGGGGACTTTTATACCTTTGATGAGACTGATCCTAAAGGTAGAAAGCTTCAGGTGAAATTTTTTGAATTGCATCCTGGTAACAAGGCCAAGGCACTGGTTTTCATCCAGGAGATATGATCTTGTGGGAACTAGAACGTCTTGACGACTCAAGTTTGGAGAACTGTCTTCATCTTAAGTGGCTGGATTGGGTCAGGATTATGGTTAGGTTCAGTATTGGATTGAACTTGACAAGTTGTTGTTTACTTCTGCTGCTCCATTGTAGCTGTCATTTTCTTCTAGGGCCCAGGTATTTGCAGGGGATTTACTATGACATGTCCATTGGACAAAAGTACTTTCCTGCTATTTCCGTTCTAAACACGGCTATTGCTGTGGTGGATGAAAAGGAACTGAGGCAAGCGCAAGCTGTGCCTTGAGGTGGGAAGGAGGAGGTGGGCAGGACTCCTGCCTAAAGCTCTGTTTAGATCTAACTTGTTCTGATTTTTTATTTTTTTGGCCCATGTGCATAACCTGTATGTGTGAATCACAGAGACCACAAAGAAAAAAAGGAGAGATTTGAGAAATTTTTGTTCTGTTGCAACCAGCAAATTATCTTGGGCTGGCCATCTTCAGATCTGGATACTTACGGAATGTTGGAAAGATGCAGAGTGGCAGATGGTGGAAAGATATTCTGGAAGTTCTTTGAGCCAGGTTTCTTAAAGCGATGCAAAGGGCTATTACTGTAGTCCTTAGTCAGGCCTTGATCCTCTTGTCCCTCACGAGGAAGCTGTACTGTCTGATGTTTTGAGAGTGTAACACGCAAAACTTTTCCATAAAGTTTTTGTCCATTTAAGTGATTCATGGCTAAAATATTCAAGTCAAGAAGACAAAAAGAAAACAGATGGGAACAGCTACTCTGCAGAATCTGTACTTATAGAATATCCTTTTTACTCATCAGCTAATGATATACATTGTTCAGTGCTTACTTTCATTCTTACTACATTTGATGTATTTCAAAAGCACTTGAGAGCATCTACTATCAATACACCAGCATACCTTTACTTTCAGAGAAATAAGTTTCCTCCCATAATTTTCCTCAATACATATTTCAAATTAAATAGTCAATTACCTCAGATCACACCAAGCAGTGTTCTCTTGTGTAAGGAAGACAATTTTTATCAAATGGGAATCTGCATTTTGCTGTGGAGTTAATGAAGAGTGGGTTTCCAAGTTATTTTGCTGTGGTCTTTTAGGAAGACCACAGGCTCATTCAAATCCCCATCTCTGATCTTGGAACCAGGGTTCCATGCTTGGATTCTCCACCCCATTGTCTCCACAGCCATGTGCTAGCTGTTTCTCAAAAATTTCAAAAGCAGCGTCAGAAAAGGGGTATAGAGTGTTGGGACGGGAGGCTAGCACTGCCAATATATAATGTATTCTGGCTGCACTCTCAGTGCCTTCCCTCCTGCTCCAAAATGCCACAGTTACTGCATGGAAGCACAGGGAAGCTACCTTCACTTCCACCACCTCCTGCCCTACACAGGATGCCCAAAATCTTCTGAGCTAAAAGGTTACAGGGAGCCTCACTGGATTGCTCATTTAAATGCAATTTCTGTGAAATTACAACAATCTCTTATTAACATTAATACCTAGTTGGGCTTGGGTTGCATCTGCCATCTGAACTAAGGCATTTTCCTTCTTATTAAACATGATTTTTACACGATGGACATCACCATAAACACCTGCAAAAATAAAACATGTTTTAATAAACCTTGTGTTACAAAATCATTTATATTATCACATTTTAATTACATTAAAGGGAATTACAATGTAAAAATTTGAAAAAATATGAAGTATGTATAATTTGTTTTTTAGAAATACAGAAATCATACAAACGTTCTTATAAGGGACCTAAATGCATGCATCTGTATATGTCAGCTTGTTATAACCTAAGCCACTGGTGGGTGGGAAACCTTTTTCAGTCTGGGAAGCATATTCTAACTAGAAGATGCTCTCAGGGCCTGTATTCCAATGCTGGTTAGGGCCAAAGGCAAACAGAGCAAAGGACAAAGTTACAAAAAGTATCATGTTCAGAGAGGTTATGTGTTACGAGTGTCTGTGGGAGCATGCATGCATGCATGCATGAGAATGCAAGAAAGTGTAAATAGGATCTGGGTAATCAAATTAGGAACTATACTCCAGCATTGTCGTTGCCCTACTCACTCCTGGCATGCAGCTCCCAACATGCCAATATGGCTCTTCAGCCAATAAAGCTTCCCCACCCGCTTTCTGAAGTTTCCTAAGCTACTATCCTATGCTAGTCTTATGTTCATAAGTAAGCACATATAGAAGAGTCCACAGGATTTTAAAAAAATAGAACACAGCATAATTTATATTATATTTTCAAGTATCAGTTCCTCAGATGGTAACTTTACAATTTTGATTTTATTTTGTACAGATAGCAACTTACCAAATAGAATAAATAGTCCATCTGGTGTGATTGCCTGTATAAAATCACAAGACAAGATTTTAATAATCTATGGCATATTAAAAAGGAAGACAACCTAAATTATTCCACAGCTGTCATTTAAAAGGTGGCTAAAACATTTGCAGATATACAAGAACAATTCTGGTCTGTACTGAAAGTCATTCTTGCTATATTATATTACTTTACAGTAAGTGATTTCAGACAACTTTTTCACTGATGTTACTATCAAAATCTCTAATTTAGATGGTGGTAAGTGTTGTAGAATACTTTGTTCACAATGTTTAAGTTACAACCTGTATTTCATGCATTATCCTTACCTCAGGATTGAGATTACTAACAAGCAAAACAGAATTTCCAGGCATTCCAGTAACTCCTGGTATAGCCATACGCCCAGTCATGGTAGATGTGGTGATTGCAAGAGGACCAAGTGCACTGGGAACAGCTGGGACTGACAGACCTGAAAGTGTTAAAATAGTTTCATTTTAAAAAATCAGAAAACATACACGATAGCTCAATGTTTCTCTCCCTTCTAAACAGGTAAACAGAGCACAGAACATTACTTAAATAAATGGGCATCAAAATGGCAAATGCAAATCAACGAAGAGCAATGAAAATGATCTAGAGGATGGAGCAACTCCCCTATGAGGAGCAGCTACAGGAACATGGACTGTTTAGCTTAGAAAAAAAGGCAAGTAAGGAGAAACATGATGGTGGTGTTTAAAATCATGCATGCAGTACATAAAGTGGAGAGGGAGACATTCTTCTCCCTTTTCCATTACACTCAAACCTGGGATTGGCAGGTGGTTTTGGACAGATGAAAGGAAGTACTTATTCACAGAACGTACAAGGGGTGTTCAATATATTCTCGGTATCAGGTTGATTTGCTACTGATGTGGATAATTTAATTATTTCATTAGCTAATGACACTATCTGAGGGTATACATGCAAAATTTCAAATAAGTGTGATCATTAGCCTGATTTTCTCCCAGCAGATATGGGATTGCCGTCCCACACCGTCTAGGAGATTTCCCAAGCACTTTGTCTTCAGCCCCGACAGGGCTTAGATTGGGCTCGCGGCCCACCACCGGACATTTACCAGCGTGATAACGGAGCTTCGTTAATCACGTCTGTCTTGGCTCAATGCCATTACCAGAAGCACAAGAGTTCTATGAAAAATTTAGAGCTACGCTTGAAGAGGAAGAACCCGGCACTTCAAAAGAAGAAGAAAAAAGTACTGAAGCAATGGAACTAACAGAGTACCATTCTGAGGAAGGAGAAATAACGAATGTCGACGCACAAGAAGTACAAATTTTGGACTCAAAGGAGAAGAGAAAGGGTAGAGCTGTAAAGGCGAAAAATAAGTAGACATGTACACACACACACACATATTTATATAATTTTTCTACAATATGGCTGCAAAAAGAGAAGGGAGAATTGAGTTCCTCTCTTTAAATGTTAATGGACTGAATGGACCTTCTAAGAGAAGAAGAGTTTTTGCTCAACTTCAAAAACAAAAATTAGATATAATTTGTTTACAAGAAACACATATTAAGAAGCAAAGAGTTAACCTTCTGGAATGCCTAAAACTAGGAAAATTGTTTGTATCTTCTACTTCTCAAAAGAAAAGAGGTCTAGCACTCTATGTTAAGGAAAAATTGGACCCTAAATTTATTCTCACTGATGAGGAGGGTAGGATCCTGATGGTTGAAATTACAATTAAACGGAAAAAAGTACTCTTAGTGGCAATATATGCGCCAAACGATCATCAGGAAACTTTTTATCAAAAATTACATGTTACTTCTACAAGTGGATTTCCAGACCATGTGTGTAATGGGAGATTTCAACGCGATTGTGGATAAGGAAATGGATTATAAGAATGTTAGTAAAGGAAAAAAGGGTAGGAGGATATTCCCAAAGTCCTGTTCTAACATGATGGAAGAATTCAGACTGACAGATGCTTGGAGGCACAAAAACCCATCTTTTGCCAAATACTCTTTTTACTCAAATAGACATAGGTCGTGGTGTAGAATTGATATGGTTTGGATAACTCCAGACTTAGTAACAGATCTGATAGAAGCTGAAATAGAGGCAAATGTCTGGGCAGATCATAACCTGATATTTTTATCACTAAAAGGAACTGTAAGGATGCCCAGATGGAGCCTAGATAAAACATTGTTAAAAAATAAAAAATTTACAGAAAAGATAAAGAAATGCAAGTATTTTTTCAAATAAATAAACCAGAAGAAACTTCTTTACAGAATGTCTGGGATACAGCTAAAGCCTATGTCAGAGGAGTGATAATAACATACTCAGCGCAAATAAGTAAAAAGAAAAAACAAGAGCGAGCAGTGATAGTAGAGGAGTTGATGAAATTGGAACAAGTGCTGCAGGAAGACCCATCAAAACAAAGTCTTAAGCCTCAATTGGATATTTTACAGGATAAGTTAAACCTTTTGGATACAAATGAGCTTACTAAACAAATGAAGTTGACCAAACAGAGCTTCTTCGAAAATGCTAATAAACCAGGGAGATGGTTAGCACATAAAGTTAAGAAAAAGAGAAGAGATTGATTGTGAAACTGAAAGATGGAGAAGGACGATTACAAGTACAGAGTGCACAAATCAAGAAAATAGTGGAAGACTTTTTTACAAACTTATATCAGAAGGAGGAGATTTCAATCGAGAAAGTTAAAGAATATATTCGAAAGGAAGAGTTACTGAAACTACCAGAAAAATACCAAAAGCTATTAAATCAAGAAGGCACAATTACGGAAGTAATAGAAGCAATTAAGCGACAGAAGAATGACAAAAACCCTGGCCCAGATGGTCTGCCAGCCGAGTTTTACAAATCTTTCGAAGCAATTTTTGCTACACTCTTAAAAGATATATGTAATGAAGCACTGTTAAATGCTAAAATACCAACTACTTGGACTGAGGCAAATATCACATTAATACTGAAAGAAGATATGGATGTAGCACAGATTCAAAACGACCGACCTATATCATTATTAAATGTGGATTCCAAAATTTTTGCTTCTATACTCGCAGAAAGATTAAAGAAGTTATAAATAGACTTTATCCATCCAGACCAAAATGGCTTTTTGCCAAAAAGACAAATGAAGAATAACTTGAGAACTATCTTGGATATCTTAGAATATTATGAGATACATACTGAAAAACCAATGGCTTTACTGTTTATGGATGCCCAAAAAGCCTTTGATAATATTAATTGGCAATTTATGAAGCAACAGATGATTCAAATGGAGTTTGGTGAAAAATTTATGAATGCGATATCAAGTATTTATCAAAAACAGTCAGCCGGGATCTTAATTAATGGAGAACTTTCAAACCCTACAGAGATTCAAAAGGGCACAAGACAAGGTTGTCTGTTGTCACCCCTCCTGTTTATTTTGATTTTAGAGGTACTGAATAGAAGTGTTAGGGATGATGAGGACATCAAAGGCATTAGAATTAGGGACGAAAGTTATAAATTGCAAGCATTCGCAGATGATTTGGTCTTTATAACGGAGGAACCTTTTGTAACAATGCCTAAACTTTTGCAATGGATTGAAGAATATGGTGAAGTTATGGGAATGAAAATAAATAGAGAAAAAACAAAACTGTTAGTTAAAAACCTTACGTGAGAACAAAAAGAAAGGCTCCAGGAACAAGTAGATTTGCAGATTGCTAAAAAGTTTAAATACTTAGGAATCTATCTTACAGCTAAATGTACCACTTTGAAAGAAGATAATTATGATAAATTATTGAAGGATATTAAAGGTGATTTGAAAAAATGGGCCAATTTATAATTATCTTTGATGGGAAGAATAGCACTTGTTAAAATGAATATATTACCTAAACTTCTGTTTCAAAGGATTCCTGTAAAAATTGATAAAAAAATTCTTTGATGACCTAAATTTTCAAATCTCGAGATTTATCTGGAGAAAAAAGAAACCAAGGATTAAATTAAACATGCTTCAGGAAGCTAAAAGGAATGGAGGTTTTGGTCTTCCCGGCAGGATGTTGTATTATCAAGCGTCTGTGTTAACGTGGCTAAAAGAATGGATAACTTTGCGAAATAAGAGAATTTTGTATCTTGAAGGTCATGACTTGCAGATGGGTTGGCATGCTTATATGTGGTATGAAAACGCTAAGTCACATGGGTCTTTTCTGAGTCACTTTATTAGAAGATCTTTAATGTCAGTCTGGGAAAAACTAAAGCTAAAACTGTAAAATAAATTACCAAGATGGCTTTCACCTATGGAAGCTTTCGTATATCCAAATGTATTGAACTTTGAAAAGATCATAAGATATGACGATATCTTGGATAAGGACGGTGGCCTGAAACTGGAGCAAGAAATACAAGAACAGGGACTTAATATTTCCTGGTGGTATAAGGTGCAGATGCAATCGAGATATGCTAAAGACTGTGAAGCATGGGGGTTCTACAAAGACCTAACAGAGTTTGATCAAGTGATGCTTAAAACAGATGAGAAAATTATCAAAAGACTATATGATTTTTTACTTGACAGGAAAATGGAAGGGGAACAGGTTAAGGAAACTATGATAACACGGGCACAAAACTTTGGATTTAATGTTGAACTAGAAAAGTGGCAAAAACTATGGGAAAGAAACATTAAGGTAACATTAGCAACTTTGTATAAAGAAAATTTATATAAAATGTTCTATAGATGGTATTTGTCACCTAGTCGATTAGCTAAGATGTTTCCAAATATGTCAAATAGATGTTGGAAATGTAAACATAAAGTGGGTACTTTTTATCATATGTGGTGGACTTGTGATAAGGTGAAAAAATATTGGATTAAAATACATAGATGGATGGAGGAAATATTACAAAAACCCTTTGCTTTTAAACCCGAACTTTTCTTGTTAGGCATCATACCGGAAGACGTTAACAGACAGGAAATGTATCTGATGCTGCACCTAATTACAGCGGCGAGGATTGCATTTGCTCAATATTGGAAAAGTGAGGAGCTGCCCACCGATGGACTGAGTGTAAGAAAGATCTTGGACTGCGCAGAAATGGATAGACTTTATCATTGAAGAAGAAAGAGGATATTGACTGCTATCGAACTTGGGATTCTTTCTATAATTGGCTGGAGAAACGGGACTTGGCGTAAACTTAGAGATGTTTTTAAATTATTATAAATTGATTTGAATTTGACTTTAGAATGTTAAAAAATATGTAGTAGGAGGCTGACCCAGTAAATCCGATGTATGTGATGTCTGATGTTTTTAGTGTTAGTTTAAAATTTTAATAAAAATTTATAAAAAAAATAAGTGTGATCATTAGTTCCCTAGTAATCCTCAGTGAAAGACAACCATAATGACTGACGCGACAATGTTGAAGAAAATCGAGCACCGCGCTGTTATTAAGTTTCTTACAAAACAAGGAAAAAGTCAAAAAATCTTTCACGGAGAGATGGTGGCCGTTTAC